ACACACACACACACACACACACACACACACACACACACACACACACACACACACACACACACACACACACACAAAAACCTACAAATTTCTGAATTTGAATTTTTTTTGCACATTTTGGGGTCTTTCAATCTAAATAAAACAACAAAAGTTGTTGTTGCTGTGATAAATACCTGCATGGTGAAAAAAAGTGATAAATCCAGGCAGAAATACAGGGAAAATGGAAGATAAGCTTATATTGATCATTATGAGTTTACCCCTAAAAAAAGATGACAACTTGGAGAAACTCTTATGTAAGAAGACGTGGGATATTTAAACAGTCAGATGGTTTAGTTGATGCATTGTGTGATCAGATTGGTTGTGCATTGTCTTGTAATAACTTAACTGTCAAGGTTTCCTAACTGAATATTTAAAAAAAGCAGGGAAACTTTGGAAACTATTCAGTCTATTTAAAAGATGCCTAACCTTTCATGTCAGGGAGTATCAGCAGATAAGAAAGAATGAATGAAGAATGAAGTCCAACTGTTTGTTTCCCCCTCAGATTATCAGAGGTGACACATACACAAGAACAACAAGCAGCGTGTGTAGATGGTGCACGTGTTCTGACCTTACAGACTCGAGCCACTCTGGGAATGAGCAACTTGCCAAAGAATTCAAACTCCACAGACACCTCGGTGAAGAAGTAGTAGATTTTGTCGTCCTCACCAACAACCCTGTTTGTTCCTTCTCTGATCACATCAGCAAACACAAAGCTGGGTTCTGCAAAGAGAGCGGAGAAAAAAATATTGGTACAAGCACCACAGACGAGGAAGAACTGAACAAATAAATGAAAAATGTATTAATTCAAAGCTTATACATTCAATAAAGATCTAGCTGATGCATGTTAATAAAAGTTTGAACCTGTTACAATTATTTATCACAAAAAGGGGGCATTTTGTATTTTCCAGGCACATAATTCAGTTCTATACCACAAACCAGTAACTGTTACCTTCAGTTGTTATATAAACGCTAAATAAATTTGACTTTGCATCACAGCCTATCTACACACCTTGAAATTGACCTCTGCCTCTTTAAGAACCTCCTACCATTTCCGGTAATCTCACTTCAGCACATATTCACAACAATGCCTCATGCGGTTTACAACCTTTACTACGAGTGTTGTATTTTGTTGTAAAAAAGAAGCAACATTACATAGTATTGGTTTTGGAAATTGGCAACTCAGGATACAGTTGAACCTTACTCGAATGATTCAACGATGGAAATGTGAGATTGTACGATAAATCCGGTGATAAATGTGGAAGTCAGAGCAAAAGAATTAATTCTGAGGAAGACAAACTCCAAACAAAGTTGAAATTGCATCGCTGGCGTCTTTTTTAAACTTCTGATTTCAAAATAAAATCCTCATGTATTATGTGTACATATGCTGCATGCTACATGTTGCCGTCTGCTTCCCAAACAGAATGATATATTTTTGACAGGATTTGTGTATAAATATATCCATATAAGTATTAATATAGCTGGGATTTTGAAAAAATGAGTCTGCCTTTGGTGAGTTACTGTGAAAATACAGATGTTGTGCTTGTTCCTTTTCCTGTTGGTGCGATGCGATCTTTGTAGATCGACTCTGGCGCAGCTCCAGCATCCAATGGGAGCAAACCTAATTTTTGAGGATGGCTCACCGCTGCCCTGCGCTGCCGTGCGGAGCCAGTGTAAATACTCTCATTGATTATAATGGCTGCATATTTACTGTGGAGCGGAGCGGAACCACATCTAGTGTAAATAAGGGGTGAGCGAGTACAGAAGCTCTTACAAGACAGTTCAGCTTGGTAACATACTGTACACATCTTCCAGTCATCCTCTCCTACATATTCATCAATGTTGAGCTACTTTTTGTGAAGAAACTATAAATATAATCCATTTTGTATCTGTTTCCAATGAAATCATGAAAATCCACCATTTGTAAGATACGTTTTACAATGAACTGATGGTGATTAGTAAAGAAATACGTCTCCTGCTGCTAGTTTGATGGAGCTGTGGGGGGTGCTCTGTGGGGCAGGGGCTTGGCTGAGGACTAAGCTCCAGGGAGGGTCTTATAGTAAATAGGTGGTGCTCTGTACAAGAAAGCATTTAGGCAGCTCCACATGGCTATTACAGGAGATTCAATGACTTCTAAAACATGCATGAATGAGTCAAAACAACACTCTGGGTATGTGTTTGATGAGGGAATAACATAAGAACATGACAAAGTTTTCCAAAGAGTGATCATGAACTACTGGAAGAACGATAACTGAGCTCTGACAGTTTAGCTGTCAGCTACAGTGTCCTTCTGACAGATGACGAGGTGGTCATTGTTTAGGAGAAACAAGAAGTTGTTAGTTGTGTTTTCTGTAAATTGCTCCTCACAATCAGAAAGAGGAAAAACTATTTTTGTAGCAGAACTCAATCCCTCACATGCTGTATGTGTGGGATGGTTTATAAAAGCAAACAAGTTGTGGAGCACAAGGTGAAAAAGCAGAAGATCACAGTATACTAAAATACTTCCTGCTTAGCCTCCAGACTGATTTTTTTTTCCCCCAGATGAATACCTGCCTCACACCTGTCAGGTTAAACTCACCATTGAGCCATGATGTGGAGTACTCCGTCCTCAGTAGAGAATGGGAAGGAGAGTATCTGGAAATAATTGGTTCACTGCCTAAGAAGTTATAAGCCGTCCCAGAATACAACTCTCCATCTGGTGGAAGAAGTAAGCAATAACGCTGAGTTATCCCCTCCATATGAAGACAGATTACAGAAGATTTTTAAGCATTTTAAAACAAGACTGTCGCTGTGAAAGGAGATAAAACTGGCCTCAACTCACCGACCATAACAGTGGTGAAGCTTTGTGAAGGGTCAAAGGAACACTTCCCTCTGCCATCTTCAGTCTGACCCTCCAAAGAAAAGTCGCCCAGATTCTGAAAGAGATCAGGACCAGGTTAAAGGTTGTGATGTCGACGGGCAAATCCACACCTAGTTGTTTGTTCCTACCAGGTAATCACACTGAGGCTGAAAGGCGTGCGTGCCACAGACGTAGAGCCGCTCGTCATCTACAACTTGGAGGACTCGGATGTAGTTTAAGCAGTCTCTCTGAAATGGAGGAGTACAAATTTACTTTATCGTGGTTGTTTCTAGCATGGTACAGACTCGTTACATAGAATATAAATATATAATACAACAAACCTCTTTTGATTTTCCTTTAAGCGTGCACATGTTCATGTGGCTCTCCGTCACCGTCCATTGGACCTTAAAAACAGAGCCACGATCAGATATTTCCAAAGTACTCTAAAAACTCTTCTTAGAAGCGTTCTTCCTGTATGATTACTTTATGGTTTTTGATAGTCACGTTCTTCTTGCTGAGCTCAAAGATGGCCTCTCTCGCTCCCACATACAGAGCGTCTCTTTCCTCACTCAGCAGCAGCGTTGAGTAGTTGAAAATCCCAGGCTCCGAAAACTCCAGAAGATCCACATCTGACATCAAAACCAACGTTTCATTCATTTATACCCACGTTAAAATGTCTTCAGAGGTGAAGTCAAACTGATTGTTTATATGTACAGATTTGTATCTCTGTTGATGTTTAAATGCAAAAAAATAACTGATGGCATAAATAAAAAAGTCACAACTTGAACTTGTATTTTTGTCCACACAGGGACACGGTTCTAATCGCTACAGACATTGTTAGTTTGTTTCACTCCATGATAGGAAGTTTGTGTTCAAGTAATACTGGTTGTGCCAGGTGCGTGTCGGCTCAAATTACAGATGCAAGCCATAAACGCCACAGTGACAAAAGCAGAATACCCTCAGTGACTAACGGAAGCAGAGGCCGTGCTACAGGAACTAATTAAAGGATGATCTGCTCTCGTCGTTCTCACACAGAGACCCAGTTACTCGAGTCGTTTCTAAAATCTTCCACCTCGTAGAACGCGGGTCTAAACTGAATCACCCGAGGTGAGGCCAAAGGTAGTTTCGCCAGATGATATCAGGCGGCAGGTGAAACCAAATCTTCCATTGTGAACACGATATGCTGAGCTGAAAGAGGTTTGACATATAAAGGCCGTGTGAAAGTTCTGTTCCCTCCGACTGAACTTTAATTATTGGCTCACGTTCCTTGGTTTGATTACGTGAGCTCAAGGACGCTGACTTTTAATAAGCAATGCTACTTCCTGTTCGCAGCAACTTTAGAGAAGTTTCAATATCTATCAACATGGGGACCTTTTGGAGAACATTTACTATAAAAAAAGGATTCAACACCTTGACATATTTCTAAATTTAGAAGTATAAAAGGTCACAACTGCAGACTTCACTTCAACATTTGCTCACTTGGTATCTTATTTGCACTTAGAATTAGTCATAACAGCTAATTATTAACTGTTTAGCATTCACGACTGCATTTGGTCTTACCTTGGTGTTTCCAGGAAGTTCGAGGAACAGTGTGGGGTCCATGAGTGGAGACCTCCAGGAGCAGCCCCAGAAACACTCCCAGCACACCAAATCCCATATTAGACTCTGTTAGCTTTGGAACAGTGAAGTTTCCCCTGAAAGAGCATAAAAAAGCAGAACCAAAGCAACACATTTATTTCTGCAAAAACCAGACCCAGCTCAGCGATGCAGAGTTCTCCCAGAGTTGATGTGATCATGCAGCACAGACAGAGGTAAAGAGATTGGAATGAAGAGATTTTAAATTGGGAACTATTTTCCGACCAAAAAAAAAAAAAAAACATTTATGATGCTGCTTATGACTCAGAAACAATGTGATTGAGATTTACAGTCCTAAATCATCCTATAGTATAAAACTTAAACACTACCTTGACTCTGAAAGTCAAGACTTAAAGAAACCAAATTTTGTGCAACTCTGAGTCACTTTTCTTTTATTTCAAAGCCTGTCCTGTACATGACTGGTTGTTTTTAGGAGTTGGACAAACGTTGACTTCAATTCAAAAAATCTTCAGAAAAAAAAAGACAAATGATGGATGTGGACTTCCACTTTAACGAGGTGCTAAAGCGGACAGTGAAGAGAGGACAAAGGGAACTCTGCAACACATGAAGACATCCAGTGCTAACAGAGCCAGGAAACTGTTGGTTTGTGACGGACACAAAACCACACACATCCTGCCAACCTCACATTCTATCATGCAAGTTTTACATCTATCTGAGCCCACAGTGTGTGTTATCTTAACTACAGGACAACATATTAAATTACTCACGGTTACAAAAGATTTGACGCGTCACACGGATAAAGATTCACCAGTTGCTTGTAGTGAATTACTCTATGAAACTCAGGACCAGCCTAACCTTCACAAAATAATCCCTCAAGATCTTGCAAAATGAAATAAGGTTTTAATGAAACACACGTCTGATCATGAATGAGAAAAGAACTTGTGACCTGGTCAGATTTCTCAAAATAAAGTAATTTATTTTAGATATATGAGCATTTAGAAACACAGCACTAAAACCCAGATAGGTGTCTGCCTCGGGTGACGATGACGACAATAACCAGCATGATGAAGCTGCTGTAGCCATCAGCTCTTATCGTATGGAGGTGCCTGTTTTCCAATGAGTCATTGTCATCTTTATCTCCCTCACCTGCTGATTTCACCTGATAAACACTTCCGTAAACTGCTTTCTGACATTTAATTTACCCAGATTATACTTAAAGTGTTAAAGAATATGGAAGGCGCAATGAAGTAACTATGTTACCATCATTTGTTATAAATATGTTGTATTTATCAAAAAATAAATTCATATCTAAACACTTTGAATTTGGCCTCTCTTACTGTTTCTGATACTCCCACTTCAGCACATCCTCACAACACTTCATGCCGTTTACAAACTTTCATGAGAAAAAAATCCAACCAATTTTGACAAACTATGAGGTTAGTCTCCTTGGCATCCAAAAATAAATTCCATCACTGAAGGTACTCTTTAATCCGAAAACGATCAGACTGAGAAGTAGTTAGTGTTAGAAGCTCAACAGATGTTTTTTTTTGTTCTTCTTTTTTTGTCACTTCAGTAGAAAATGAAACCAAATATTATTAGTTTATTTATTTCTTCATCATCAGTGACTTTTTTTAAGTGAAAAAAAAGGAAGCTCAACAGATGTGCAGTTCCACCAGTTCTGGTGGAGATGTGTGGGAGAGTCGTGCTCTGTGGGGCGGGAGCTCAGCTGGGGACTGAGTTTCAGGGAGGAGCTTTGTGTAAATGGGCGGTGCTTTGTACCAGCAAGTGTTTAGGCAGCTACAAATGGCTACCACGGGAGATTCAAGGATCTCTCAAACATGTATGAACGAGTCAAAGCAACATTCTGGGTATGTTTTTATGAGGGAATGACATGATATAAAGTTCAAAAAAGTTAATTTTGCAAAACACCCCACTTTAAAATAGTGTTTTTAGCTACAACCTGCTTAAACAACTACAAGTTTTCTTCTTTATTACAATGTATTGTATTTAAAAATGCCTAAATAAAGACTTGCTAAATATTGTTAATATAACATACTGTCTTTTTAGATATCTGTTTTTCCCCTTGTCTAAAACAGAAACAATTATTTCCTTTAACAAAACCATGTTTCTACTTAGTTTTAGGTCAGCAGAAAAGCTGGGGTGAAAAGCATAAGCTTTAAAGCTTAAGTAAAATAATACAATAAAATCTCTAAATCTGTTCTCAATCCTGCGTGTAAAACATGCAGTTCCAATTCACTGCCACGCTGGAGGGTGAACGCAGAACCATCTTAAACGTCCAATTTTCTCCCCGTCAGTCCAGTTCACTGTGACACAGAAGACTGATTACTTTCTTTTTCTTGGTCATTAACACTGAAAGGCCCGTAACTGAGATGAGGCGGTTATTTGTAGAGTTTCTGTGCTTTTTTTAAATTCAGGTTCAGCTTTGAATCCGACCCACAGAGGATGTTAGCTTTTAGGAAGTCCCGTGCAGCCTGTTTTAAAGTTGCGCTGCTGTGATGAGCAGAAGCAGGTCAGGTGGTTTTGTACATACTTTACTTTACAGAGTAGGTTTGTCTGGTTTTTAATCACAGCAAGGTCAAATGAAGCTTCAGCTCAAAACACTTGTTAAATGGTTAGATTTGTCACCCAAACAATGTGATTAAAGATTGATGGTCAAAGGTGAATAAATAAAAATCAAATAAAAATAATGAAACTTGTTAAGGACATTATGAATTGTTTAGTCCCCTCATTAGATTATTTGTTCTCAAGAGATCCACTCCCATCTGGAGTTACAGAACAAATAAATCACAGTTAATTACTTTTGAATGACCTAGTAGCCCCACTGTGACTCATTCCAATTAAGTACAGGTTATTATTCACCCAGCAGAAGGGAGGGATATATCATATGGTAAAGCTCATTAAATCAATGGGGCTCTCTGTAACTAAACACAGAGGCAAGATGATAATTGATTATTGATTTAGTTTAAAGCGAGAACAACCTGACCCAGAGGCCATGATCCTCCTAACACTGGAACATTTTTCCCCCCTTCCAAATCGAGGCTTTCACGAAAAAAAAAAATCTGTCAAAGCTGGAATTCCATCCCAGCTTCGGGGCTTAACCATGGACTCCATTCTGCTAAATGGGGGGTGGGGGTCAAGTACACAAGGATCTATTGTATACTAAAGATGAGGGTAGCCTCCACTCGACTCCATTCCACCCTGCCTCACATCCACGTCACCACTGCAGTGGTAAACAATGGAGAGAAAGAAAGAGAAAGGCATTGCTTCTCCGTTTCTCTCAGTTCTACAATCTTGACAACCTAAATGCCAATTTACCCATGAGCAAAACCCAGAGCCAGGCTTTAAAAGATCACACAAGCCCGTGAGATCTGGAAACCGGATGAAACACAAACTGTCTGATGACAGCAGCAGGAACGTCCCTGTTAAAGAGACAGAAATGGACTGAAATAGCAACAGTGTGAAGAGATGAGATTACAACACTAAATGGAGACAAAGACCCCAAGTGGACAAAAATACTGATTTGTTGTCCTTCATAAAAAAGTCCTCTCGTGCCACATTCCATAACGAACAGGCTCCCAACAAGACACAATCCTTCATCTGTAACTCCTAATGGCCTCTATCAGTCTTGTCCTTCCCAGCCCCATTTAGGGCAAAGTCCAAGCATCAGAACTGTTTGAGAGTCGGTATCACAGTAGCAGAAAGAGCACGCCGTCTGCTACACTGCACTGCTGAGAGATTTAGAGGAGTGTCCGTACTGGCCAGAGATATTTAAGATGGTTACCATGCTGGCAGGTCTCTTTGAGCCCTTTGTGCTCCCATCTCAGCTTCTTTAGCTGGGCAGAGAGTTGACACCTGTTCTGGGCCTTGGGGTTCCCAGCACTGAGCTGTTAACTGGCCACAAATACTGGCAGGCTGCCCACTGAGCACTGGGAACAGAAAGTGGAGGGGGGAATTAGCTGATCTGTGCTTAAAGAACTTTATCATTTTAGTTGAGAGAAAAATGAAAAAGATATTCCATTGGAATATATTGTCACATCTTTACACACCAAAAATTAAAAATTATTTTGTAATAGATTTTATGCTACAAAGAATTTTTAGATTAGCACCATTTGTTGCTTGTCATTTGTTGTGGTCTCTGAGTTATTGCTCTCTTTTTTCATTTGGCTCAAAACTTAAATGCATCCTTGGTGATGTGTGTTTGGTATTCAACTTAAATTCATCCCAATATTGGGAACAGATCCTCAACAGAGCCAAAATTAGAGATCAAGTACCTCAAAGTAAAAGGTTAGTACCAATAAAGCAAAGGAAAGAAAAGGTGGCATAAACGATGTGGAAAGAATTTGAAGGAAACATGACATTATTAGTTTTACCCAGGTGTTTTGGTTAGGATTAGGGGTGTAAAAAAGTAGTGATACACTGAAATATTGCGATATTTTATTTCCTGTTACGGTATCGATATTCAAAAGCACTGTTTTGATTTTTATTTAAGGCTGAAAATGTAAGCTTTCATGCCAGCAGTTCATTTTTGTGTTGTCTTTTAGCCTCCGACCACTAGATGGCAGATAGATGGATGTTGTGAGAAGAAATGAGAAATATAAAAAGGCAGTTCTCACTGTTCAGTGTTCTTCTGACTGCATAAAAATAAAAATTAATTTAATCAGATTTCATGCAAGTACTGCAAGGTGCATTCTTTATACTGAGTTTTTTTATTAGAATATTTTGGAGCAAAAAAAATGTCAACATTTCACCTTCCTGACAGTATTGCATCATGCACCAAACTCCTGAGAATACACAGCCCTAGTTAGAATAATGTGAAATAATCAGCTTTAACAACTGTAGTCAGAGAATTACTATATCTAGTGGTATATAGGGATGTAAATCACCAGCTGCTTTATCACAATATATTGATTTGTTTGGATGATGATACAATGTTTCTAGGTCTTAAAGTCTGAGATCAATATGATGCAAAATCATATAGTAAATGATTGTGTTTAGATGGGCATGATATCATTCCACATAGGGTATATGGATGTTTTTGTTTTGCTTTGAAGTAATTGAATGATTAATCATATATCAA